GCGGCTGGGAAGACGATGGTGGGGGGGAGGGACGCCCCCCTCCCGCCGCCGTGACGGACGGCAGGGCCGGGCCAATAGGAAGCAGCCGCCGCTCCCCGGACACCAATCAAGGGCTCTGTGATCAAGCGACCAATCGGAGTGCTGCGGAAGGCACTGGGTAGTAGGCGCTGTGTGACTGACAGCTCTCTGAGGCAATGCGCTGCTGGTTTCCGGCGCTAGGTTGGCCCAATAAAGCGGAGTTCCAGAATCGCGGGGCGGCTTCAGAACCGATTGACCGCTCGGAAGAGTCAAGCGTACAGGAAGGAGGAGCCTAGCAAATGGCTCCTTTGAACACAAGCCAATGAGTGCACGCGGAAGGCGGTTCTTGTAAAGATTGGCAGTCAATTTAATCCAGTCCCTTACGAGTTCTGGGTGATGCGCTTGGGTTTGGATTGGCTTTTCATGTTAACCATAATCCTTTTCCAGCCTTGACTTCTAAGCCAATGGCTGAGAGACCGGGGCAGGTGTTAGGTGACTGACACCGGTATAGACAAATGGCAATGAAGTAAAGGTGCCCAGTATTAGTGGGAACCAGTGGAATCGCAGCTGCATTGGGGCGGAGCCTGCTACCAGACGGCGAGAGGGGATTGGTGGAAGGGGGAATGAGTGGCAGCATACATATGCAATAGCGACTGCTGCCAGAATTCGGGCCTGACGTCAGGGTTAGCGTCCCGGAGCCTAGCTGGGTAGGCCAGGCACGTGGTTTGCTTGAGGCCTTGGAGATCGGGTGCTTTCTGGAGTTGAAGTGGCCTGAGAGCAGGAGGAAACCCAGGGATTCCCCTGTAACTCCTTTTCCTCTCTCCACCCATGGCTCTAGAAGCCCTTCTCTTCCAGGATTTATGGAACCAGCTCCACTCCCGAGCTAATGGGTTTTGGGCCATGGTTCCTATCCAGCACTGCGGGATCCCAGACCCTAATTCCACACCCCACACCTGCTTCACACTAGGTCCCGGGATCCAAGCTTCACTGGACGCAGGCAGCATCCATCCTTCCCATTCAGGACCCAGAGGTCCGAGGTACTCAGCCCCGCTCCGGGACCCAGGGAGTGCAGATACTCAGCTCCTCTTTTGGACCCAAGTATCCAGGTCCCCAGCTCCCCTCCTCAATCCAGATATCTCAGACATGTTTAGCAGAAACCATCACTTTATTCCTGGTTTGACTCCATGTTCACCAATTTGCCCTGGAACCAGGACAGACTACTACGAGCCAAACTGGAATCCATAGTAGATTCAGGCTGCATCTGGAGAGCATCTTCTGACCTAGACTCCCAGTCTGCTTTTCCTGAAAAGAACTTCCCTGTGGCCTGAGCCTGGGGGCTCTTTGGGGCCAGGGGACATTGAATCCTCTGCCCATTTCTGCCCAGGGCGTGTGGCTTAGCTCATTGTCTATACACTCAGGGTCTTCTTCATGGCTTCATACACCACATAGCTGATGCCACCAGCCAGCGGCACCTTCAGTAATGTAGGGGTCATACCTCGGTATAGCCCTGGCCAGCCCTGCTGGGCCAGGATCCGCTGGAAGACTCCACACATGGTGAGGTTTGAACCTTCCACAGTGTCTGCAGGAACAGGAACAAGCTCAGCGTCTCAGAGAAAAGCTGGCCTCCGGGGGCGGGAGTGAGTGGGGGAGGGGGGGGCTGGAATGTTAGGGGATGGGGAGTGGAGCCAAGGGCAGAGGTTTGGGGGGTCAGTTGGAAAGAAGACTTTTAGAGAAAATCAATTGGTTTGGGAGAGCAATTCGGGCAGGAATTTTCAGATTTCCTTTTTGGGAACATCTTTAAAAACATTCAAGCCTATTTGGGAGGTAACTTATAAGATCTAGAGATTTTGGGGAGTGTGCTCAGGAATAGTTTGGGGACATTTTCAAGGTGAAGGGAGTTGGCTAAGGACCCACTTGGATGTTTGAGGTTGTTTAAGAGTCCATTTGAGGGAGTCACATTTGGGGAGTTTCCAGGGTTGTGGGGGAGTGGTTATGAATTTTGGGACATCTAAGGGTCAGATTTGGCAAATTTAGGAACCATTTTGCCTTTTGGAGCCAGTTGAGGACTGGATCTGACTTGGAGAAGTTAGGGGGATATTATGTCTTGAGGTCAGAATGGGGGCCTGGGTCACATTTCGGGGGGTTGTGATAATCATTTGGAAAATGGATGTTCATTTTAGTGATTTGTAGTATTAATTTGAGGGCTGGGATCAGATTTGGAGATGAGTGTAAAGTCTTGGTGGCTTAGGGGGTCAGTGAAGTTGGCCCAGATCAGATGTAGGAGTTTGGGGATGAGAAATTCAGAGGGTTGGTGGAGGGCCAAGTGGGGAGAGCCATACACGGTGGCCACTAGGGCCAGGCTGACCTTGAGCCTGCATCCTGGTGCGCACCAAAGTCAGTGGGTAACTGGCCATCTGACCACAGGTTGTGGACAGCGTCACTGACAACAGACTGACCAGGCCACTAGGGTCCGCCATGTCTCTGCCTGACTTCAGCCAGAAGCCTCTGAGTATCTGCAAGAGAAAGGGGGACAGGAGAAAACTTGCGAGGGCCTGGGTTCACCCCTGCCACCCCCTCTGAGGGACCCATACCTCATAGACAGCCAGGTCGGTACAGGCATAAGGGATGATGCTGAGCATGTTGGGCAGGTAGCCACGGTAAAGGGCGCGGGTGCCCTCCTGCTCCAGGATCTGCTTGGCACAATCTAACAACCCCTTGTATTGGCCTGTTCGGCGCAGGGTCAGTCGTGTCTTCAGCACCTGGGGAGGGTGAGGAGTAAGGCAGCTCATTTGATTTAATCCTCTCAGTGACCCTCAGCAGTGGCCATTGTCCCCATCTACAAATGAGGAAACTGTCAGGAAGGTGCAAAGCTGGGTGTCAAATCCAGAGCTCCCTGTCCCATTCCTTGGCCTGTGTTTGCTCTCAACCCTGGGTTCAGAAGTTCAAGTGCTGACAGAGGCCAAGAGGGGAAGGGAAGTGACATGAGCCAAGTCGGGTATGTGGCAGCTTGCATTTAGCACCAGCCAAACATAGCACCATGGGAGTGCAAGCTCCATCCAGGTGGCCAGATCTGCCAATTTTCTGAAAGAGCCAGAAATAGGAATTTTTATGAAATGCTCCAACATCAAAATATTGGCAACTCTACAATTTTGCAACAAAACAAAACACAAAGTGTGGTAGGCAAAATTCTAAGGTGGTCCTCAAGATTCATGCTTCCTCTGTATACTCCCCCACCTTGAATGCGGGCTAGACCTGTGAACACAATGAGATGTCACTCCCCTGATCATGTTACATGGTAATGACAAAGGTAACCGGATTTTGCAGATGTAATAAAGGCCTCTAAGCAGTTGACTTTAAATGAATCAGGAGAAATTGTCCTGGATGGGCCTGACCTAATCAGGCAAGTCCTTTTAAAGAGGTCTATTACCAGAGGTAGAAGTAGAAAAACTGGAAGCATCAGAGACACTCTCTGTTGGTCTGAAACAAGCCAACTGTTATAGAGAGGACCACATGGTTGGCGTCTAGGAGCTGAAGACATCAGTCCTACAACCTTAAGCAACTGAATCCTGCCAACAACCAGAAAGCTTGGCAGAGGGGCCTCAGATGAGTTCGTTGGTAGCCAGCTGACACCTTGATTTCCACCAGATAAAACCCTGCACAGATCACCTTCTAGCCAGTGCCCAGGCATGAACCACAGAATCAATGAAATCTTTAAAAATCTGTAATTTTGCCTAAGCCAGTTTGGCTCAGTGGATAGAGCGTCGGCCTGCAGACTGTAGGGTCCCAGGTTCGATTTTGGCCAAGGGAATGTACCTTGCTTGTGGGCACGTCCCCAGTAATGGGTGTGCAGAAGGCAGCTGGTCGATGTTTCTCTCCCATTGATGTTTCTAACTCTCTATCCCTCTCCCTTCCTCTCTGTAAAAAAATCAATAAAATATATTTAAAATAAAAATAAAAATCTGTAATTTTAGCCATGGATGGTGTGACTCAGTGGTTAGAGTGTCCACCCTCACACCAAAGGGTTACAGATTTGATTCTCAGTCAAGTGCATATACTGGGTCGCAGGTTTGATCCCCATCCCTGGTTAGGGCACATGTGGGAGGCA